AACTTCTGGAATTCTTGTTTTGTTTTTCTTCAGACTTAGTTGATAGAGTTAAATGAGAATCACAAATGGAAGCAAAGAAATAGGCTTCAAATCTGCCACTCAAGGAAAGAAAGGCTCTTCCTGCCACAGGAAAGAAAAGAGGAGGGAAGTAGGCAGATCTAGGAGGGAGATCTGAGGAGACTTGCAGAGCTTGGTTTGTTGCTTCTCTTGTTGTTCCAGAAAACTGAGAAGGTAGAGACAGCTGGTCTTGAAAGGGAATGTTCCCCAGAGGATTGTGTGCTGTGTGCTTCTCCCATTTCCACGCATCTTTTCCCATAAATCTGGTATAGTCAAAGCAGGACATGAGGCAATGATTGTTTTACAGTCCTGCTTTCTATGGGCAATATCCCGCTCTGCCATACATAAAGGCAGTCCTGCAGGCATTCAGCCTCTGGTGTGTGTTATATGAGGGCAGTCTCCTCTAGGTCTGTGCTTTTCAATCAGCCAACTCAGCATTATTCTCATTATTTCACTAGGAAGCAATTGGAAAAAATGGAAGAAAAGAAAAATCAGGAATTGAAAAGCTTTGATTGTTTACAGGAAATAAAGGAACTTTGACTGGAGCTTGAGCTATGTGCTCTCTCATTTGCATCAGGGTAAAGTCCTTTTGAAGAACTGAGCTTAAATTTATCATTGCATCTTTTCTCATATCAGAAGTGACAGTGACAACTGTTCCAATTGTCAGACTACAGATCATTGTCTGCCTCACTGAAGTAGTGCTTCTCTAAACCTGGTTAATTGCTCAAATGATGGCCGTGACTACCCTTCAACATATACATAAGCATGTAAGCATTTTTATTTCAGACTATACAGCAACACTAAGAAGCTTTAATAACAATCATTTATCATTCCTACATAAAAAGAAGAAATGGTATGCAAATCTAAAAACATACCTGGACATTCAATCTCTGGTGTCCAATTTCCAGACACACAAGTTGCCTGTTTAATATTTTTGTCAGCTGATGTACATCTGTAACGTATAACTTTATAAAACCCAGTCCTCCTTTTTGACATGGAATGTCCACCAGAGCTTACAAACTCAACACCCACTGGAAGTTCACACTGAGGAGATGGATCTGAAAAAAAAATAAACAAAAAGAGCTAAACAAAAAATAGATTCAGTTCAGATAATATGTACTGATGAAGATATCATCAATTTCTTAAGGCATATCCATGTGAAAGTGGGTTTTTATTTACTGTAATTTGAAGTGATGCCTAAGACTCCTAGATTACAGAAACAAAGACTTTTTTTTCCAGCTACCTAAAGCAGAGACTGTTCTCAGTCCCCAAGCAATTTTTTTATGTTGACAGGATCCCTTTTGCTGAGTGCAGCAAATAATAATAATAAAAAAACCTCACCAACGTTTTATTCCCTAAAAGGCTGTGAAATGAGCAAAAAGAGAAGGGGACCTCATCAATGTCTACCAGGATCTACCAATATCTGAAGGATATCAGGAGGAGGGAGCCAGGCTCTTCTCAGTGGTGCCAAACAAGAGGACAAGAGGCAATGGGCAGAAACTGATGCACGGGAACTTCCACGTGAACATGAGGAAAAACTTTACTTTGCGGGTGCTTGAGCAGAGATGTTGGACCAGATGGCCCACTGTGGTCCCCTCCAGCCTGACCCATTCTGGGATTCTGTGAAAAGGACTGATGCACATAGAAATGGTGAGGATGGGATAAGCCTAAACACACTGTTGCTATTAACATTAATTCCTTTTATTACTTGATTTTAACGACTATGCAAGTGTCTTTGACCTGCCCATAGTGCTTACAAAGTTGTAGGTGCAGAGTCTTTCCAGGATGAAGAACATGCTGCCATTTAAAAGAGGAGTAAATAAAACCCACTTAGTTTTGATGCATGAAACTGTAATATGTCCAGCTACATACTGATTGCTGAAATCCTTGACATTTTGAACAGAACTATCTCACACTCGCATCTGAAATATTATGAAAATAGTATGGAAAGAGATTACCAGCACAAAGAGGTAAAGGCTTCCATTCTCCATTAAGACATTTTATTTTCATTTGCTTCGAATTGCCAGAGCCTGGTTTACATCCACAAGTTACTTGATCACCATGTGAAAACTGGGTCTGGTCTGCCTGATATAGAGCAACATTCGGAATAGAGGAAGGTGATTCACAGGGCATTTTGTCTTCTGTTGAAAAGAGCAGAAGTATTCCACAATAATATTGGAGTTACATATGAATAGCTGAAAGAACTTAAAAATAACTGTATTTGCATTTGGTGAGCCAAGCCTACTCCCATTAATTGTAACAACTAAACTTGAACACAACTGGAGTATGTGTATATCTTTTAGTCAGTTTACTAAATCCCTCTCTGTCTTTTCCCCTCCTTTTCCAACAGTGTAGCATGACCCACAAGTAGTTTCAGCTAACATTACTTTGCCAAACTGTTGATACACAAACCCTAAAGTGTAAGGAAACCTTCAATTAATCCAAGTCACCTGAATCCTTGATTCTCATCAGTCAAAATTATAATTGATTATGCACCTACACATTTGTAATGTACACTTTCAGTCAGAATTAGTACAAGAACTGAAATCCATTGTAGTGTCCCTTAGAGGACTGCAGTGCTGTCACCTCTGTATGAGAACAGCAGTTCCTGCTTTGGGCTGTCATTGTTCCTGTCACTACCATGCAGTGGTAGCGACAGGAAAAGGTAATGGCTTTTCCTGACTCTTCATTCACAACATGATTTTGAACATAACATATCATATCTGCAAATATGTAATGTTAATTGTGACAATATCTGTGATGTATTAGCTTACAGTGAATTACAGACTTCTCATAAGTAGTGTTAAGTAGTTTACCAATGCAAGAGGGAGGAGGTGACCACTGTCCATCAACACATTCTATTTCCTTTGATCCAACCAATTTAAATTCCATGTTACACTCATACTGCTTTCTGTCCCCATGTTGATACTGTTCCTCAGAGCCACCAGCAATACTTCCATTGGTAATTTCAGGGGGAGGTCCACAGCCTCTGGCCTTCACTGAAATCAAGAGATCAAATCTATGCTCTGAACTCAGTACTTTAAGCACAGTAAAGTACAACATAAAACACATTGAATTTGTTGTTTAAAGTTAAGAAAAATCAGTGGAACAGGTTAAACGGATCATTGATTTATACCTTTGAATATCTGGATTCATGGTGGGCTGGAGATCACAAACAGATATGTGTGCTCCTGGCTCACTCCTCATGTCTCTTACTTCCTTGCACTGTCAGTGCCAGCTATGATAAAAGAAGTGCTTGATAAAACCAGCCCAGTTTTAAGATAAAAAAATGTGTTACAAGGATGGCAACTTCAGTATTCTTAAAAAAAAAATAAAAATTGACCATTCTGCAAGTAATAACAACCTGTGTTCTAAAAATCACATAGCAAGTGATATATATAGGGCATATTAAAGGATTTCAGTTTGGATGGAGTGAATGGAACTCCTATTAAGGGAATTGATGGAGTGGGAAGAAAGGGAAGTCAGAAATATGAGGTCCCTTCATCCTCTCAAGCTTCATGAAAGCCCATGTGCCTCATGAAAGGGCGTAGCACCAGCACAAGAAACTTTTTTTCAGATGCCAGTAAGCTGTACTCCTCAAAAAGGATAACTACAGAGGTATATATTTTTCCTTTGGCATGAATTTATTCATCCTAGAGATGAAGCTAAGGAATTTCACAGGAAAATTCTTCACTGGATTTTTTTGCTTGGGTCCAGTTCTGTGCCATCTCCAGCCCAGCTTTTTTTCTTCAATATCATGTCATTAGAAAAAAGAACATAGGATACAATATCTGAAGGGTATCAACACTAGGCAATGGCAAAACTTAGGACATTTAGGATATAGTAAGAGGACATTACTCAAATGAATCACTCCTGGCTGCCATTTTGCACATTATTTATGCATTTCTGTATAATAAATTATTTTTCAAACATTACAATCAATAACCTGATTACTATTTTGTGCAAGCCATTTGCCAACTGGCTTTCAGTTACTGCAGAACTTCATATTGCATCATATTGCATAACCAAAGCTCGCAGAAATACCAACACTGAAAGCTCAACTGTTGAGACTCTTTCACACAAAATAGGAAACCCCCATGAAATGATCCCAAGAGGCCTAGTTCTTGGCCTGTTAGAGATGAAGGCGGGATGGTTGTCTTTTGGAGCAAGACTGGCTTATAGAAGGTGTCTGCAGAACTGTTTAGGACCAAGGCATCCTCATTCCTTGGGGGGTTGGCACCTTGTGGTGCCTCTGTGGGGGGACCTGGGGCCGCCTGGGGGGGGTGGAGGGGAAAGCCGGACTGGATTTTATCCAGAGTACGGAATGGAGGAAAACCCGGACTTGATTTTTCTGGAGTACGGAACGGGGGAAAACACAGACTGGATTTCAAAAAAAAATAAAAAAAAAAAATGAAGGGTTGGACTTGATGATCTCAGAGCTCCTTTCCAACCTGGTTGATTCTATGATTCTATTTCCTACTATGATCAAGTTAACAGAATGATATGGTTTGAAGTTGGCTCCCTGCCAAGTCTCCAAACCTTACCACAAGAAGTCCTCCCCCCCCCCAAACCTCAGGGAGAAGAGGGAAAAAAAACAACCAAGAAAAACCAAAACAAGAGAGAGACAGCTAAAGCAATATATATCAATATATTTACACTTATGTTACAGTTATATACAACTGAAATACATATACATATATATATATATAATTATAAATACAATTATATACAATTTCACACGGAAATGAGAAAGGGAAACCCGCACCTCCCAGCCACCAGAAGGAAAGAGAGCGAAGGTCTTTCCTCCTTTCTTCTTATAACCCGGGCTTACGTAAAAATCGTAGGGAATACTGGGTAAATCTGGGCACTTCCTTGGTTACAAACTGGTCACCAAGGAAGGCCTAGACCAAACTACCACACAGAAGAATTACCTTTACACTCTGGTGGTGATGGAAACCATCCGAAGGAGTAGCACTGAACAGAGGCAGGGCCCACTCTTACAAACTTGTTGGCACAGGTAAATTTCACAACATCTCCATTGGGGTATTTACCCTTCTTGGGATAAAAATCTCCATTGGGCAATGTCAGCATTGCACATTCTATTACTACAAAGACAAAATATTTTAATATATAATGTACACCCTACAGAAAGTACATGAAATGCTACTGATTAGAACAAAACCAAAGAAAGTCTTAAAGAAAAAAGGTTCACAGAGTGCATACAGAGTTATGCTAATTAACAAACACAAAAATATTCACCGAGACATTCGGGTGCTGGACTCCATTCACCATTTATGCCACACCTTGTGGTATCAGTTGGCATATTATTTGCAGTTTTATATCCTTCCAAACATGAATACTCAATTCGATCTTCAGGCATGAACACAGTTCTATTTGTGTGGTGAATCAAAATGTCCTCTGGGGCTTTACATAATTCTGTAGAGTAAAACAAAGTGCATTTTGTTATCCAGAAACATTGCCCTTTGGAAGCATCATCCCTGTTGGTATATTTGAAACATTACTAATTCTGCATTGCCAGAATATTCATGTAGAATATGCAGTATGTTCACATATTATCTATTGCATTAATCTTCAGAAATATGTGTCTAGAAGTAATATTTAGCATAAATACTTCTTGCTTAGGTTCAATTATTTCCTTCTGCTACATATTATTATTATTTTTGGTGTCATAGCAAATGGTTTGTACTCCTGTTCCTTGTGATCATTTGTGAGGGGTCAGAAAAGAAGCCACAAAGTCCTAGGTAAAGACAGTGTGAAATAAAAGGAGAAGATAAAATGGTGGCTCAAGTTGGTCAATATTATGAGCCTCAGCATCCCAACAATGGAAAATTAAGTCTTTTACTATACTACACCGCTGTTCAGGGGAGGAAAGAAGTTCCAAATAAAGAATCCTATTTGTCTCTATTTTGGTTCACATTTAAAGAAAGTTCTTGGCTGAATGCCTTGCTTCACAGGCATTTCTTCATACATTGGGAGTAAATTTGGGCAAAGGTACTTTTTTTCATGTAAGAATCACCAAACAGTCAGTGATTACCATTTACTTAATGCTAAAGAAATCCAAAAAGATAGGTCACCAAGAAGACACTAGATTTTCCCCACCTTACTCAATACCTTTATGTTTTCTGTCTGTATATCCTAGAGCCTGAGAATGATTAACCTCTGAAGGATCAGAGATTTGAGTCTCTGCCCAGTAAGAAAACTCCACCAATCTGGATGGCAAAACTCTGAGTCCACAGGACACCATTTCTATGATGGTGACAATGGTAGGGAGCTCGGACACGTTTAGGTACTCACTGATGCATTTTGGAGGTGGAGTCCAGCCATTTTCTTGGCACTGTGTCTCTCCTTCGTCTTGTCCTTCTGGAGTTACAAAGCCAGTATTACATCTATACGGGGCCATTTCCCTTAAACGGAACTCTCTTCTTGACAAGGTGAAATAACCATTCTCAACATGGTTCGGCTGGCATTTTACTGAAAGAGATAGACAAAATTTCTTGCAAGTGAAATACTGCTAAACTGCATGCTTATAAATCACAGCAGAAGGAAGACAAAAGCAGCAGCATTCTAGGGCTTAGGTCATTTAATTTTAAGAGCACATGAAGTTTTGCTTCTGCACTGAGCTCTCTTCCTGGAGGACACAAACAGGGATGGACAGGGGTTTGATTTGCAGCAATCCCGCAAACTTCCCAAACTGTATGTCCATGTCTGGTCTTCACTAGAAATGAAACTCCTGTTGGGCCTGCACAGCACTGTGCATGCACGGAGAGCACCTCCTGTCCGTACTGCAAGGCAGGGGCACAGCACTGCAGTCTGCAGGTGTCAACTCAGTCCTGCCACAGAGAAGTCATTCAGAGTGCACAGACTGCAGGACTGAAGCAAATCTCTACCAAAGGCCCCCTTCTTGCACAATAAAACACTAGTGCAGACAGACCCAATGCTGTAACCAGTTTCCTGTCACTTGGAATACATTCTTTAAGCCATTTAATATTACCTAAACATTAATGTTTAATATATTGTTTAATACCTCGTTAATTTAATATATTGCTTATATAGAATGTTTGATTCATTGTTAATATATAATGTTTAATACATTTTTTCAATGGATGGAAATCAGTTGCCTTGGTTGGCTGTTTTGGTCTTGTATTCTGAAAGAAAACATGCACAGAGTATTAAATTCTTTACTACTTAATCATTCTGTCAAGGAGTGTCTTCATTTGAAGAAATTAACACTACAACAAACAGAAATATTTTCATACTAGAGAGCCAAGTAAACAAGGATATAAAAAACCCCAAAATCCAAAGTACTTTGAAAAACACTAGAGGATGTATTTATTGTTGGGAGCAGGGTTAATGATACTGTATGCAAGACCTTCAAAAGTTTAAATTTCACAGTGATGCCCAGAATTGCCTAACACTAGGAATCAGAAAATTTTATTTTTCTTGCTCATTGCTAGGTCAAAATCTCAGTGGGGGGCAATCCAAAACATTAGATGGTAAGAGTCTCCATCAGTGTGGAATTGTTTCCTAAAAAACTGTTATATTGAATTATTTCTTTGTCCATAGGAAATAATTGTCTAAATATTTAAAGCTCCTCTGAGATATTAGAGCAATTTCAGGCTTGGTGCAAGTCAGGAACAAAAGCTGGAAATGAACTGGAGAGGTAACCCCCCTTTTCCTCCCACCTGCCAGTATGATGCCAACGGGAAAGGAAGCAAGAGGAACAAGGATCAGGTGGCACAGCGAGAGGCTGAAAGGAGTCTGTGCAAGGGAAATGATTGCTATTTATGACTGCACAGCTATACTAGAACAAGATTTCTCTAGGGAAGACAAAGGGATTATGACTCCCATCCAAGAGCTCATATCCTGTATCTGGAGGAGCCACGTGTGGCTGTTTTACAGGGGTACACTCCGGGTGTCTTATAGTGACCGACCTCAGCAGCACAGGGACACGAGAGCTGTGGAAGACAGGTGAGACAATCACAGCACTGCCTTTCCATTGTACAGCACCTTGACTTAGAGTTACTAAGTCCTAGTGATGGGTCACATGATGATGTGTTTACTGCTTTTAGACAGAAACCTCAACAAAATACAAGCACACTCACTTTCACGGATACATCTGGGAGGAGGGGACCAGCCATTCCTTGTGCATGTGACTTCTTTATGCTCAGCATGGTAATCATTGTTGCAGGCATATGTAGCTGTTTCACCTTCTTTGTAAAAATCCATCTGGTGTCTTGGGAAATAACCATTTATCAGCTGCCTGGTATAACATTTTTCTAAAGAAGAAGGAAGTACATTTAACGACAGTAATTTCTACAGCAAGAACTGAGTTAAAATATTTCTTATGAAGACAGTTACTAAAAAACAGGCCTCCAAACACATTTCTGTAGCCTTCCTCCCCAAAAAGACATTTGTGTGCAAACCTGAATGAAACCTTGCTTTATTTCACTGCCCTGAGATTAATGAATCACATGAACAGAAGGGGAAGTCACTACATAAAGCAAAAAGAGCTGGTCTAGTAACCACAATCTCTTACTTACTGTTCATGTGCACCAGCTCTAGTTTGGTCTGCTTTGTCTCTAAACTGTTGGTGTCTGCACAGAGTGAATTTCAGCATTTGCTTCCTGGAGATTTTATCATCTCTGTGGAAGTGTATCAGCCTCTCAAAGCAGGTCTAGAGATTTTAGCAACAGCTTGGCACACTGGCTCTATGGCCTCCTGCACCCCAAGAGCCCAGACATAGGCTGAAGGAATGTTACAGTGTGTTATCTGAGTAACTGGTCCTTTCCTCCAGGCAGGGCTCCATTCCTTTCCTGCACTGAGCACCACTCCACTGAGGGCATCAAGGAAAGACCAACCTTTTGTAATCCACTTTCCAGTCCTACCAGTAGGCAGGAACTTTGCTGTGACTGAAGATGTCTGAGAGGACATCTCACCTTGCTGCTTTAAATGTAAGTCTAATTCATTTTAAATCTAAGGAGTGTATCTGGTTCTTTTGCTGATACCATGATCACTTGCAGCTTATTCCAAGAGTGTGACATCTTTTCAGCTCCAAAAGCTTTCCAAAGGGACCAGGCAATGGTTCTCAGAGAGGAACCTCTAAACAAAGTGCCCAAGCCATGGAAGGGAGAATATATTGACAAAGAGTAGAAATTTTCTGTTTGTATGTGCAGCTGTGTGTCCAGAGGAAAGTATATGCTTGCATGCTACCCAGAAGCCAGAGAAGATTTCCCATATATTTCTTAATCTCATGAATAGTTTCAAGAGTAAAAAATCTCCCAAATCCAAAAGCATCATTTCAGCCTTACTCATTTCAGAGCATCCCCAGCTCTGCAGAGAGGATGACAGTCTGGGTGCAGTTCCAGGGGTCAGCTAAAGCAGTCCGACTCTAAGAAACTGTGTTCCATCAGAACAATTTCAGCTGCACAGACCTTTGATAATTATAACAGAATTGAGCATATGTTGGAAATGCACTTACTCAGGCATTTTGGCTCTGGAGACCAGCCCGTTTCGGAACAAAAACTTTGAACCCAGGTATTTCCAGTGGGGGTTGAATAATCTTGGAAACAGTAGTAGTCAACACTCTGCCCAAATCTCATGGGAAAGTAATAGTATCTGTGGTTCTCATATGCGTTATTTAACCTGCCGTTTTCTATGACTGGGTAGTCACATGGCTTCACTTGAAATAGAATTTAAGAGCAACAATGTCAACACATGCATGATAAAAAGCTCAGCACACAATCTGAATTATCAGATTCAGCCTCATCATCTGGGTGTTTTCAGAAACGGACAGAACCAGGACTGCCCACCCTGGCACACCCCTCAGGAGTGCGGGAGCAATCGCACTGTGCTTCTGGTGTCTTTGGCAGTGCTTATAGCTCTGTCATTTCCCCCAATTCCATTGCAATCAACAGCAATCCAGGAAATATTCTTAGCAGACTCCAAAGGCTGATTCATGAGACTAAATGTAAATATTTATTCTACAGTGAGATGACATTGTCCTTGTAGAGGGTCTGGACTAAATTTACTATGCTGACCATGATGGGAGCCCAGACATGTGGCTCAGATATAGAAACTGACCTGGACAATCTTAAAATTGAAATGACTCCTGTTACCACTTCCATTTGTAACTTTTGGGACCCTACACCAAAAGCTCTTCCTTACTCTTCTCATTTTTATTTTAAAATTTTATTTCAAAATTGTAATTTTGTTCTCTTGATTCCTCAAAAGAACTGACCTTCTTCAGGGAGAAGTCAAGGATAGAAGGAGGAGATTCCCAGATGCTTTCATTCAAGTTTACCTAGGTTCCTCCTGAAATGCTCTGATCCAGAGCCTACCTGCAGAGGCAGGGCAGACCACCCACTGGACAGACCATTCAATAATGAATGAAGTGGTCTCAAAATGATACCTGAATTTTGGAACTCATACTAATATAGAGAAAACATTAATATAGATATTAACAGAGCACTTTTCAGAAACAGCTCAAATCATCTTATCCAGAGGTTCATTTACAAGACTGACTCCATCAGGGTTTCTCTCATAATCTGTTCTAAGTTTTTCTTTTATTTTCAATGACCAAAGATCAAAGAGTGCTAGATTATGAAACTAATTGCTAATTTATATATTAGTTTTTTTATGCTGTGCCTACTGGACAAAACTATCATTGTAGTTATGGGAAGTTTAAGCCAATAAAGAACTCATCAACCATCAAGAATACCTTGTTTTGTTATCTGACAGGTTATAACAGATAGAAATACATGCGACTATTCATAAAGCCAACTTACAACTCCAAGTAAAAGTCTAAAGCTCTGACAGCTAAGAGGAAAGACATCTTCCAACCATTACCTATAGTTTGTACTTAAATACTCATGATGTCCTCTTCTCTTGACTAAGATGTTCCTTGGGTGGGGCACAAGTGAGCTGACTATAGCACATTCTAACAAATTCACAAATACAGTAATAGATAATACCTGTGTTAATAAACATAATGTAAATATTGATTAAACCACTGTTTTATAGGTGATTTTTCTAAACCATCACATTAAGCTTTACATCGCAAAGAAAAAAAATGAGTGACTCCCATGCCTACTGATCCTTGAGTCTTGCTCTTGACCTCTTTTTCTCTCAGATGCTTCTAACAACTCTACATTTTGTGTCTTCATCCATGAGAGCTACTTACAGACACAAGCTGGCTCAGGCACCCAGCCATTCCCGGTACATTTAGCTGTGTTTCCGCCAGTCAATGCTTTAAAATGATATCCAAGATCACACTGTATCGTGATTGTATCACCCGCTTTGTAGCTGCCTTTGTCAGGTCTAAAGTTCCCATGGCGAACTACTGGAGGAGAGCATACAATTTCTAAATAAAAAGAGAAAAAAAATGAAGAATATGTTTAAATTTATTGCTTAAGTTGTTAAAAAGATGTTTCGTAGGGTAAAGAAAAGATTACATTCCTCTCCCACTCTTATAGTTCTGTAAGACAAGAACGACAGCTGTTACTGATGTCATATTAAGTAGAAGCTTAAAACTAAATTGCAAAGGGAATGGCTGAAGGAAGAACCGGAGGAAATCAAACTGAATCTGATTAATTTTTTCCAAGAGGTCTTTCTGCAGCTGGGTTATGCTGGGCTCATTTATGGACACTGTCCCAAAGTAGGGCAGCGTCACTAGCAGGTCCTAAAGGGAGAAATATCTACACTCAACTAGGAACTGATCATTCAAAGGCTATGTGATTAAGATTAGGGACTTACACTGACACTGGAAGTATTTCGACAACTGAAAAAGGTCAAGAATCTTATTCTAAAAAACTCATGGTATCCTTAGGCTCAGAGAAGCCAGGCAAATGTATTCTTTATAAAACAGAATCTGTCCTTTAGATTTCTTGTATTCTACTTCCAATTCAGAAAAAACCACCAACACTCCCAGGGCTGGGAGGGAATGACTACAGGTTGGTCCTGCTGTGAAGGTGGGTGAATCAGTTGCATGCATGTACTGCTGAATCATCTAGGTTCAGTGATAAGTCAAGTAGGATCCAGAACCACTGAATATGCCCCAAGTATCAGAGCCCAGCATATTGGTGTCTAGAAGAATGTTTGGCACTCCTCAAAAGCAGTATGTTGCTCAAATGTAGGCGGTGCATATTAATTAGTACCGTTACTAATCTTGAAGCAGAAAGGTCAAGAACTGAGTGGGCCCCAAGACTGACAAGTCTTTATTTCTAAAGGAGTCTTTCTGGAAGAGGTCCCAGGAAGGTAGGTGGTAAATAAGATCCTACAATGTTGCCCTGTTGCCAACATTTTTTTCCAGTCTCAAGAGTTCGGCAATTTCTTGAAGACAACTCAAGGCACTAATAATTTCCCCAAAATTTACATCAAACTGCTTCAGCTGGGATATAACATGCATATTTCTGTTTGCTGGATTTAGAGATTTAAATACAGTCTGTAAATGCTGTAACTGAATTAAACTAAAGTAAAATCCATGACTCAGAGGGCTGATGTCAAACAGGACTAGCCTCAAAAATTATGGATTTGTCATATAAACTGCCCAGAAGGCATTTGAGAGTTAAAAAGCAATAGAGAGCTTTAGCATTGTAAATATATTAATTTGTAGAGATTCTCAGACAATTGTGAAGTTTGAACGGTGCGGATAATGTGGCTGTTCAATTACAGCTCTGATGACATTAAACATATTGCTGTCTTCATCCTAGACTAAGGGTCATCGACAAGGGCAGGATTCATGCATCCCATGATGCATCCTTTGGTCTCTGTTTATACATCACTTTATGTCCATGGTTCTTAG